TGGCTACATTAAAACCTCTTTATCTCTTTTAGCTTCTCTCTATTCTGTCCACCGGTGTCCTTTCAAGGGTCCTTGCTTGTCATTATTTATTCTGGGCCTGGAATTGTGTGCATGCATGCAAGTGTGCGTGTGTGTGGTTTGTGTGTCTGTGTTTGTGAATGCAGGTATAGGCTTCCAGGCAGTACAAGCGGCCCTGATGTGAAGTGACATGTTGAGAGACCAAGCCTTTGGACACTGGCTGAGGGAGGGAAGAGAAACCAAATAGAAACAGACATAGCCTTTATAAAAAGCTACAACGCAACTGCATCAGAGCAGCAGATGGCACGTCACCGTCCCAGCCACCTTTACTTACAATATCACTCAATCGTTCTTTAATCATGTATCTCTTTTTATCATCCTTTCTTTTATTTAAAAAAAAAACTTGAACAAAAAAAAAAAGAAGACGAGCACAGATACATAAATGCAGGAGAGTAGTTCTGTGACAAGTAGAGCCTGGGAGAGACTGGCTTGTCTCATATAATGAAGGGGAATCTCTTCCTCTTAATATTTGCTACAGTCATTGTCTGGATCAGGCCAATTCACCTGCCTGCCTGTCTGCTTAGCTTACCATTATACATCCCTCTGTTGCCTCACCTGACCCATTTCAGCCCAGTTTAATTGATGGTGATCCAGCATAAAGTGCTTGAACTGAAATGTGTTGTAAAAAGGCTTGCTTTTTAAGAATAACTGTAACTAATTTTAACCTTTTGAGGTAGGACAAAGACACACAACCCTTTAGCTGGCAGGGATTCAGCATCTTGCCGATGGACAACGCAGTATGGTATGCACCAGACGGTGCTGAAATGAGAGCTTGAGCCCAGGGTCGTCTGGCTGAAGGACAGTCCCACACACTCACTGGTCTATAGTCTACAGACACTCCTTCAGTCAAGATTAGAAAATGCAGCAGCTGTGTGAAGGCTTCACTCTAGGTCAATGAACAAAACAACAGCAACAACAACAAAAATATTATATAATGTTTATGCTTCTTATTAAAAGAAATAATATCTGTACTAGTTGTATGGAGCTTATCACAAAACATGATTAAAATGAGGAAACAAAACTATATAATACCAGATATCAATCATAACAATTAATGGTAACATTTGTATACATTTGAATGAAACCATGAATTAAATTTAAAAGGCAAAAATAAAAACAAGATCTTTAGTGAATTTACAGCAGAAAAAGTAAATGCAATAGTGTCAATAAGCATTTAGTTTGAAAGCAACCTTAGCTGAATTCAAAGGAGTGGATTTATCATCCAAATGATCGAAAACGTCAAAACATTTAAATAACTTGTACAACTGTTTATTATTATAATGTTTGTCTACACTTAAAATGCACAACAGTAGCTGGTAATGATACAGCATACTAAGGAATGTGTTTACATTTCCAGCACACCTTTCATGAGCACCACCTACCGCAAGGCAAGTGCTCGAAATTACTGGGTAATTATAAGGCCCTAACTGTCTGCTTTTTGAGACAGATGTTGTGTTCGTGAATCTTGAAGCAGGTCAGATACCCAAACTGACTGCAAAATGAGACAAGAGGTCTCTCAGCCACAGTCAAGGTTCTCTGCTCTGACAAGAGAGCAGATGGCTGTTTGTGGAAATAACAAACCAGATCAGAGAGAGAGAGGGAGTCAGAGGACGCTGCAAATTCTCCACTACAGCTCATCCTCCTACACAGATTGCCTTTTCATGTTGTCACTTGAAAAATGTTTTGATTAAAACAGAAATAAAATTTACAAGCAATGCACATGTGCTGTACACACGAAAACACTCTCTCTGCCTCCCTCTGTGTGCGCCTATGGGTGCGTGTTAGCATCATGCTGCAGTGACACTCTGTTGAACTGTGGTGAATTACAGAACGACTGGGGGAACTCAGTTACTTCCATGGCTACTTTGTGTACGAGTGCTGTTCCTTTGGATTTCTGATAGAGCTTGGTTTTGTAGGCCATCACTGTAAAGTGAGCATTTACAAGATTCTCTGTTTCTGATATGATTATGTGAAACATTTTGAAATAATCAGCTACATTGCAGAGGCCAATACATTATTTTTATTGTATGTAACTAGATCATCAAATTCTACCGTGATCAAACATTTTTCAAATGTGTTTTCTGTAAAAGTTGTTCTTTAAAAGTTCATGGTGTTTTGTTAACAGTTGTGTTTGTCGTCATTATAGAGCACTGAGATTACCTAACAGGGATAGCAGCTATTACACCCTCAGCAAACACTCTAAACACAATATTACCTCTAACTTAATTGTTCATCATAAAAGAGTATTGTTCATTAGTTCCACCACTGCCAACTGGCAGTATGTCTGCATTTAAAGAAAGCGTTAAACATTCATGTGCAGTAAAGCTACACCTGTGTCACCAAAAAAAAAACATACAAATCTTTCAAACATTAAAAACTGTACATATTATATATTTTACTTTACCGCTTGCCTGTTTAACTAGCTACAGTATGTGCTTCTCACAAGGCAGCCTTTATTGCCAAACGGAAGCAGTTTACTAAAGGACTAGACATACTAAACTGCAAATGATAGCAAGAATAATGACCCTATGTCACACGTCTGATACAGTGACTTTACTCTCTGTAGCTCTCCAGCTGACAGTTTATTCTAAACAGATGGAGTACAGCCAAAAAACATCCATTCCCCTGATCAATACTCACATAACAGATAGAATAGGATAAATTGAATAGCTCATAAAGAGAAGATTGAGTTGAAGCTAAAAAAGGCCACCTTTATATTGGTGTAGTTAGAGAAACCCATAACAGCTTTTCTTTTTTTAGGCAAATTCATTTTTAAATGGCTGTTTCATTCTAATTGATTGAACAGTAGGATTTATGAGTCGGTCTTTTACTTTTACATATATAATACACTCTTATTTTAAAACTTTAGCCAGTTCCCCTGATGAGAATGAACTCTAAATTTTCTTGCAGAGCATTACATCCCTTACTTACCGACATCTCATGAATATAAACATAAATAAACATAAGCATATGCATGCAAACACAGTTTGTTTCTCTAAAACGTCCACAACACTGTCCAGGGAAAGCAGCTGTTTTTTTATCAAGCAAACATTCACATTCCTGCACCATTCTGAATGGAACCCAGCCAGCGCACCATACTGCAGGACTGATGCACATTTCTCGTCTCTGTTATGTAATAGGCACCACATTCTTTAAATTTATCCACCCTTGTTAGAGAATGCCACAGAGGACAGATGAAGTATAATAGTTTTTAGTATAATTCATTTTCAGTTAATTGAATTTCAGTTAATTGCATTTGTTCAAATATATATATTTTTAAATCACTCTGCTGGGATTTTGGATCATTGCTTTCTAAAGGATCACAATTTGAACCATAAGGCCCAATACATAATAAAAAGCCACCAAGAGTCTTATAAAAAAATTGTGTTCATTCGTGTGTGGTGAGATTGTAAGGACAAGCCATAGAAAAACTATTATATGTCTGATGGCCTAAAAATGCTGATGAATGAAAAAGTTAAAGCGCATGCACTAAGTGAATGAATGGGACACCATCTTGGAACATAGTTATCCGATTTGTACAATACATCCATTGCTCCTTAAAATGTGCCATCCCATTCTGCCAGAAAATGGTTTTCTATTGAAAATCTGTCTGTCCAACCCACAGGGGAAGTGATATATACAGTAGGTAGCCCTTATGGATTTTCCTTGAGGAAGCAGAAACTCAAAGTGGATAAAAACATTACAGGCCATGTCCCTGTTTTTCTAAAAGTTCATGTTGTAACCCCTAGCAAAACATACACACCAGATCAGTCTACAGATCAGACTTGGAGGAGGAATGGCAATTTTGAGAGATTCAGAGAGAGAAATTGACTTTATCTTATAAAGTGCCAACCGTCTAGTTTTAAAGAGGTGGTATTATGCTTTTTGCCTTTTTCCCTCTCCTTTATTGAGTTATATATCTTCTTTGTGCATGTAATAGGTTTGAAAAGTGAAAAAGCGAAAAAGTGAAAAGTCCACCCCAAAGGGAGTACCCATCTCCCACAGAAAACACTGCTCTGAACTGCCTGAAAACAGCTCGTTTGTAGTCGAGCTGTTTCCCTTCCATCCCTGTGACATCACAGGGATGAAAGAAAAATTTGCGTCATATAACTCTCGCCAAGCGGCTAGTCTGACATACCCTCAAAAACACCGGTGGAAAAATACTGAGCTGCAGCACACACCTCTCCTCTCCCTTCCAAACACTAGCTAGCCTCCAAGCAGTCAATGGACATAACGTTGTTACTGTAATGTAAGACAGAGCTCAGTTAAAACTTTATGGATGAAAGATACTTTTGTTACAGATTAATAACTCACCACTCTAAAACTCTTGCTCCAGTCCATGTTGCTAAGCTGGTAAGAGGATATACTGCTGAACCGAAGCTGTGTTTGCCCTTCTCTGCTTCTGATTGGCTAGTAGTCCTTAACTAGGAACTGTGCATGTGCAACTCCAACAAAGATCATGTATGTATATATGAGGCAAGATGTATCACTCCATAGCTAATGTGCAGTATGACATAAATATGGTGTTTATTAAACCATGTAAACCTGTTCTGGTACAACCCCTAAATAAGATTTTGAACCTGAAAATGAGCATAACTCCACCTCTTTAATAATATTGCCTCTCAAATTTTCATAAATGAAATTCCATAATATTCCACACATTAGGGTGATGCTGCCTGCACACACCCTCCTCCATCAGATTAAATATATCATGCCCAACATGGGTGTTGTGTTGTGCAGCTCTCATGGAATCCCATTCTGTTGTTGTCCTCACATGTTCAGGAATTCACTTCTGACACACACACACACACACACGACTGTCCAATGACACAAGCCGGGTGTCACTGGCAAAGAACATGTGTTTTCAGTCAGACTTTTAAAGAAGAGGGCTTGTTGGGAAAAAGAATGTATTGTTTTCTTACCTGAGACAGTCCTGACAACCTCAGAGGTGTTCCTCAGGCCCACAAAGGAGAACTGGTAGAGCCTCCAGGAGCGAATGTCACCAACCTCCACTGAGCTTCTTTTCCACTTGTACACAATCTCCTCTCTGGGGTAGCCATCTGAACAGGAAAGAACATAGTTACATTGGACTAAGTTAAAACAAGGAAAGCAGAGGAGAGGAGAGAAGCTTTGTTCAAAAAATGTTTTCTAAGTCTACCATTCATCCATTTTAGGAAATATCTTCAGATTTGACTCCTCAGATAAGCTCTCTGCTATATAAAACAACGTGCTGGAACACTTTAAATTTAAAATACAACCACAGAGCACAGTTTGTTTTATTTCAAAGTAATCCATACCCACTAAGTCAGCTAGTTTGCAAATAAACTGTTTCATGAAAGAACAATTATATAACACACTCCTGCACAACATGTTGACAATATATGCAGTCCATCTGTGGGGAGAAAACATCCTTTCAGAAACACTGAGCTGATTTGAAAGTCCAAATTATAGAACTGATCAATGGCTGGCTGGGAGTTGGATTTCAGTACTTTCAATTACCTTAAGCAATGCTCTCTGGTTGTGAAAATCACAATAACAATTTTACTAGTCTGGTGCTGATTCACTAAGATGAGCAGATGCATTATCCTAATCAAATCATATTTGTTAGTGTTGAATTTATGTCTGGTATCCAAATTTGGGAATCAAAAGGAAGGAAGAGTCTTTTAAACTAATAGAAAGTTGAATTAGGAGTTAGGCTCCTTATGCTGTGATGGGATGAGACTTAATGTTTCCGAGTACAGGGCTGAATGTGATGATCTTTAGCCAGTTCTCTTTCCATTTCAGTGCTGTCTTCAGTCTAGCGATGAGCTGTGTGCAGCTGATGAGGGAGTGGCTTGAATAATGCACATAAAACTTCCTTAGTGCAAACTTTAAATGGCCTTATGACTAAAGTGCTCTCAGACATCCAGTAATGCTGGACCTCAGAGGAGTAGGAGATGGAAGGATCTGCCCATTTGCCTCATTACAGCCAACCAAGCAGGCAGTCTGCTCCTTCACTGGCAATGCATCCAGGACAAATTATTGATTCAGTGTCCTTTTGGGAAGCCAGAACAACAATGCTCCCGCAGCTCAATGCCACGAATTCACTTTGGAGCCATTTTTGTGTTGTTGTCGAAACTGTTGCTGTAATTAAAATATTAAAAATGAATATGCAATTTTGAGCTAGCTGAGATAATGTACTTCATCTGGAAATCGTTCTTCAACTGAATACAGCGTGATCGGCTGCTGTCTGCAAAAGAGGTTGCACTGGAAAATCTACAATGATGTGTTGCTTTGTGGCACGTGTTGAGGATTATGCCGCGTGATATATTGCTGCTCCGCCTGCTGCATCTGAGATTGAGCTCATGTACTGTACATCAAGTGATTTTCAAAGTTCTAAAAAACATCCATGGCTTTCATCAAATTTAAATGAATGCTTCTGTTCTATTTTTAGGCCTGCTACCCCACTGGTTTCTCTTTCTTGTTGCTCTAGAGCTATTTAGGAAGTATTCTCTCTGGAGACCATCCCACGGTGCATCTCTCTGTAGATTCATAACAGCCTCATTAGCATAACTTACCCCTCATCCGCTCCTCACACGGAGGCGCTGACTCATTTGGACTTGTGTCACTTTCTGAAATGTCCTTTAGAACAGTATTGACAGTGTGCAGGGAAATCAATCAGTACTTTGCTTCTGGTCGAGCTGGCAACGAGACATCTATTGTTAAAACCCTTTACTGAATGCCAGTGCATACTGTGAATGAATGAATGGTTTAACAAATGTTTTTGTTCCCATCTCTCATATTGGAACACATAAACACATATTGTTTTGTTTTTCTAATCTCTTTAAATGCTAAGATAACATTTTAGCTAGTCAAGATAGCAGGAGATTTCAGGAGATTGGAGTTTTCTTAAAGAAAACCCTGCAGCTTGAATTCTTCGATTTGGCCTGTTGCATAATTATTATCTAAATTATGTCTTTGTTAACTAATATGCCACTTGTTCATGGCCACAGCGTGTGTGTGTGTGTGTGTGTGTGTGTGTGTGTGTGTGTGTGTGTGAAATGAAGGGCGGGGTAAGACAGTAGGGTATCAGCATATGGCCAAACTTACAGCTTGAAAACTCCAGGGGACATGAGTGCTCATCCATTGGGAAGTTGTTCAGTTTAAGCTGGCACTCTGCATCGATGGTCAACCTGCAGAGACACAATATTTGGATCCACTGACTCAGTTACTATAGTAAAAAAACAATACGTATGTATATAGTAAAACATATATGTGTAAATAATGATTTTAAATTACATAACCGTCTATCGAAAACAATAGTATGCATGTATGTGTTGGAAAAGTCAGAATTAAACCTGCAACCTTATCGGTAATAACACAAGAAATTATTAATTAATATTTCACTAAAGCAAATTGATGTTTTTGTCACAGCAACACATCCATCCCTTCTTTTCACACTTCAGGGAGTTTGAAGGCAAAGTCATTAAACTTCCCCTTAATGAGAGAATGACCTTAAATGACTTTACCCATCCATGCACTCGGTATTGTCATGTATCATTGTCCTCCCAATCACAGCGGTCATCCTAATTAACCAGTGGTTAAATTCTGAGTTCCTTAACAAATTAATAAGTGCAGATGTAGTGTTCTGCATAGCAGAACATCCATCACAGCTTGATTGAGTCCAGAAGAGTTCACTTTTTGTCTTATTATCACTAATGATATATTGTTGTGTCAGTGTAAACGCCTGCTGTATTTATGATGGCATGCAAAACATAATAATAAAGCACAACTATTATTTACCTTTAACATATATCTTGTTAGTTCTGTGGGCTTTACGCCCATAAACTATATGCAGTCATGTTATTATTGAGCAACCAACAATTTTACAATTAGGGTGCCACTGTCCTGTTTCAAGCTCTTTAGACAATAATGGGCCTTCAGACAATTTAGCAATATTTACAATTAGTAAGATATTTGTGTTATTTAAAAATAACCCTACCTCTAAAGACATATACTCCCAGCAAGAGTGCCAAAAAACATCAGTTTAGGGCAATGTAGTTCCAGTGTTCCCTTTTCACCAACAACTTCCAGCCTCATTCAGTAAGACAGAGTTCCTACACGCTAATTAAAGTCAAATTTAAAATGCTGAAATCTCAAATTGCCCAGGGCCTGTTCAGGATAATCAGTACCATGAATCATTTATGTAGAGCGGCCGTAAATTGTTGGGTATTTCACAATACTTTCAAAGGACATGCATTGCTTGCTGCTAGTGATGGATTCCAAGCACCTTTAGTGGCAATACATTTATAATACAAATATAAAATAAAATGCTATACAGTTGTCATAGGTTCTTAGTCCAATTTTAATGCTAAAGTTGTAGAGAGGAGACTAGTAGCCATGTATTTTCACTGCTATCTATTGTTTTCTGCTTTATTCAGTGGAGAGTAATATAATTTATTGTTTATCTAAATCTATCTGATCTCGGGCATCGCTGATGTTACCTGAGGGTATAGAGTATTCGACCATCATTCCAGATTCGAAGCATGCGATTGGGTGTGGTGATCCAGTGAGCATCGGCCTTCTTTGAGTTGCGGAAAAAAGTGTCTGGGATCCAGATCTTCCCCACCATGTTGCTGTTGAGACGCAGAACCTTCATCGTGCTGTTGAATTTTAACCTTCTGTCGTACCAGGTCTGAGCAAAAAAGATGTCGATGGTGTATTCCTGAGGACAGATAAAACACAGTTTTACCGAAATTGTGTTTTGTTTAACTTCAGTTTAAAAGCTGAACATGTAACCCGCTAGATACAAGTCTCTGTTTGTCAGGAAAAGCTTGCAAACAGTATTGTTTGCCACCAGGGCTGTCACCAATGTGTAGCTTTTAACTGTGAGATGCAATGAGATCAAATCGAAATGTGGGCTGCAAAAGCACTCCTCTGTTTGTTCTGTCTGAAGGGAACTTTTCTATGCTGGGGGAAACATAAGGCTGCAACACATTTGCAGGCACATTTTCCTCAGACGATACAGTGTGTATTCAGGCCAAGAAGTCCTTTTGTCCACACTAAAGAATTCTGTTGAAAAAGACCATGTTGACGCCCTCAACCTGAAAATTAAATGTTCAACGGGGCAATTAATAATTTCCCTTGTTTGGCTCAAGTATTATCTAACCTCTTAACCTGCTGCTTTGGCAGCACTTTGTCCTGAGCCTGACAAAACACTCTGTCTACTATTCAGTAAGAGACTGTCTGTTCGAACATACATATGAGAGGTGAAAACATAGGCGATAGAGGCACGTGCAGAGTTGAAGTGAGATGCGGTCTAATGTGAGAGGGGAAAGTGAGTGAGAGGGAGCTATCAGTCTTTCTTATTTATTTTGTTATTTGGAATGGTTGAGCCCAGAGGTTCAAAGTGAAGTACAGCAGGAGAGAAAAAAAAAATCAGGGGATTTGTGTGCAAGAGGTATTAACTTCCTGACAAAGCTTAGCCCAACAATAAAGCCTAAATCCATGCCAAAGAGTCCTAAATGAGATTTAAAAAACAACATTTTCACCAGGCAGCGTTCCCATCCTTTCAGCATCCTTTTTCCCCCCCACAAAGGACAGACAGACAGTTGAAATCCAATGATGAGAGCAAGATTGAATGCCTTAGGATCTTCATCTGGGCCCTGCTGAGTGGGATAAACTTCATTTTTTTTCTACCTTTAACCTATATATAGTCTGGAATCTTTCACAGAATCGCACTTCTTTCAATTCAAACTGCTGCACACCTCTAAGAACAGCTATGAACCGCTCAGCTCTAGTGGCTCCAAAACATCAATTTATAATTCTTTTTCTTTTTCACACCTTGATCTCTCCCTCTTCTTCTCTCTGTTAGTCTGCCCCATCCCTTCCTCCTCTCTCACATGAGTTGTAACTTTGCCATTTCACAGGAATTCCTAACGCATAATTCAGAATTATGTTCATGCTTAGATTCTCTTTAGAGAATCTACCAACCTCACCGCATTTGTCATGTCATAGTCTTAAAGCACTGGCCCAGCCACGCTGATTACATATGAATATGAAGTAATCCGTCAACACTTCAGCGGAATGCCCCCATTACACACACGCATGCATGCAGACTCCCTAATGTGAGCTCAAACACACATTTTCTAACTGATCCTATCAATGATTCTCTTCCAGCTTCACTGTGACTGCGGTTATTGAGAGTGGGTGTTTTAGCTAAGACTAAGTGAAATGGAACGCCACCACCATGTAGAGCAGACTGTTCTGCAGAATTACAAAAGAAGTGGGTTCTCAGCGGGAGCATGCAACAGAAAACATTGACACATAAAACATCGCTGATGTCAGGTTTTTCTAATGCTTCTTTCTCTCCTACAAACATTTTCCCTCTCCACTATCCGATGACCTGTTCTGCCCTATTTTGGTCATCACTGCAGCACGACAGCTATGCATTGTATTACTATTCCTCAGTTTTAATAACATCAAATTGATGTGTTATGTAGGGTCTCCATGGGGTAGGGTCTTGCTGGCTTAATTTGACAGTTGATACATTTAGCATTTCCAACATTTTCAACTTTAAAATTTTCCAAATTTTAATAAATAGGCATAGACAGATATGATTTTTGGACACTGTACAAATAAACAGTTCTCCCACTCATATTGGCTGAAACTGATGTGCATTCTTGTAAGAGAAATATAACAAATGCTACACAAAGTTATCTTTGCAGACATAACACGCTTTTAATAAAATTGCAATAAAATTGGTCAAAGGTGTAATATTTACAAAGTACAAGCCTGCAACTTGCACTAACTTTAAATACTGTGATTTCGACTTTACTTGGTATAATGAAAAAGACCAAATCAACAATCATCCAGACACAGATAGAAACTATTATTGGACCAAGACTGATATTTCCAACAAGGACAGTCATTCTTGCTCTTATATTGATTATTAGAATGGTATTCAAAGAAAATAAAGCTTTTATTTTTTTAAAGAAATGTTTAATGAAAATAAAGCACTGCAGTTGCAACACAACTAAATGTAGTACAACCACTACATAATTTGAATGCGGCACTTTCTCTCTCTGTCACAACAACAGACAGAAATGATCAAAGGCCTTGTCTTCAAGCCATATCCAAGGAAAATCACACATTGGTATATTTATTAGAACAACCCACAAAGAGACTGAACAGGTGACACCTCAGATTGTTGCTGATGCAATTCTTTGCAATTACAATGGAAAAACATCTAAGGTCAGCTCATGCAGCTATTTGCAAATACGCGACTGTGTGTAGCAACACAAGTGGTTAACTGTTAATCAGTATTTCTAATTCTAATTAAGAGCTGTTTAATGCAAACATATGCATTACATGGACTGCATATATCCACTGTGGTGCAAAGGCCAGTGCAGTGGTTAAGTAGCTGATTGACACCTGTATTGTGTTGCTACACTATAAGGGCAGTGGGGCAGCATAGAGATTAGGTGGACCAACCAATCCTCCATGACAGTAAGCATCTGCCCTGCTGAAGTGTGCTTGACTAAGACACTGAATCCAGCTCAAGAGAGAGAGCTACTCTCAGGATCATTATACTCTCACCTGCCTAAGGATGGAGAGAGGGTGAACACAAATTTGGGAATAAATAATCTCACATAGGTATACAGTGCAGTTTCAGGCTATATTATTAATAACAGCAATGACACATTAACATCATATTCCGGTATTTCTCACCATATTGATGGCATTTACTGGACCAATGCTGTTGACAAACATGTCTGTGTGGATCACTGTTGGCTTGACTGCAAAGAAGCACAGGAAGAAAAAAACATTTAAAGGAAAATTTATCATATCATGCACAACAAATTTCAGGAAGTTGTTTGTCAGTTTTGTCTATAACACCATCATCAATGAAGGAAAAGAGGTAAATAATCTCGTTGTTGTGAATAGCTTTCAGTGGTAAATCATGTTTTGTATAATACACAGCAGACAGGCAGGTGAGTAGGATGTGCAAAGGAAAGTTTTCAATTCTTGCACACTGTCTGCATTAAGTTTAGTGGAAGTCCAATCATGGAGCTTTATCAGGCATCACATTTACAATATGAAACAACATCTTTATACATCTTTATACTCACGCCACAGGCTGAAACAACCAATCGAAAAAAGCAACCAAACACCATCAATAATTGATCAAAATTACATCCCTAAAATAAGAAACAATATCGCTTAAGATCCATTTAATACAATAGAAAAATGCAAATGCAAAACAAGATGGGCAAAGCAAAATAACAGATCAAATGAGGGAGAAGGGGAATAATATAGTACTATACAAAATATCAAGCAAGTATCTCAAGTAAAACATTGTTTCATAACATATCTTGCCGATATTCCAATGCACTCCTAATAAAGGCAAATGTAAACAAAACAAACTTGAGATTTTGATCTTCAGAAATATAGTGATTGTCTCATGCCAGGGATCTTTTTACAATGAATTACTTATGTTGTTATTGAGTCAGACGTTTGCAATTTGCTGTTTGATGTTGCATTGGTTGTTGCAGCCTGTGGCTATAAAGATGTTGGAGATTTTATATTAGAATCAGAAATCAGAATCCAAATCAGAAATACTTTATTGATCCCCGAGGGGAAATTCACACATTGCACAAAAGGTAAAAGAAATATAAATAAAGATAGTGGTATATAAAGAAATATAAATATCAGAGTAAAAATATAAAATGAAAGAAAATTTTAAAAAAGAGAAATATTGTGAACTTCTGGCCCGATGAAGGTCCATGACTGATAGATTGCATTTCCAATACATTTAACATGTAATGTATATGTTAAAATGCTTAAAAATGAATATTTAAGTTAATACCCAACATGTCTTTACAAATCTACAGTGAATAATTGCAGTGATAACTGCTCATGATTCCTCGCTATTATTCTTATTGCTGTATTTAGTTTTACTAACACATTACTGCTACTTCTAATGAGATTCAGTTCAACTTTTACGACACTGTATTACATTATCAGTATTTCACCAGGTCTATGATACATCAGATAGTGCTGATGAAATAGAAACCCTGGCTCAGATTTTTCCTTTGTCTGTGAGGAGACTACACCAGAGCCTACAGGGCCAACTTCATCTTCAAACAGGCTTCCTGCCAATGTCAGAGAACCACACTTTGTCTGTATTTACGGCCAACTCCTGACCCATTTACTCGAATACCTTGGTGCCCTCTGCAACATCCCAGCCATCCCTTTTTCTGTCCTTCCATGCTTTAGGCCTGTGAGGTCCTCTTGATAGCTAATCAGTTACTCTCTTTTCTCACAGACCTGCTGGGGCCCGGCACTCCCACAGAGACAGACTTTTAGGTTAAACATGCCTCATTAATGTTTTGACTTGACCAGATTTACAATTTGTGGCCCATAAGAGACCAAAAAAATTGAATATGATACATAACAATCCCACAGCAGTTACATTAGAAACTATTAAACATTTGTTTTTTAAGTAAGGATAATTTCTTGTAAGAAAACTAGTGCACACGCAATTTGCTGCATGTGCACCTTCACGTGTGGAAATGGATTTTCTCTGCTTGTGCACCTATATGTTCACACATCTACTGCCTAAACGGGTTTACTGAGATGGACAGACAGACATCAGACACATTATGGGTCAGGAAACTGAACAGCTTGGTGTCAAATGGACACCCATGCTCTGTCAGATCCTCTAAGTCAGCCTGAATCAGCATCTACACTCTAATGTGTATGTTTATGGATGACTGGATGTTACGTCGGAGAGGAGAGTCAGGTTAAGACTCAGGGCTTGATGTGGGAGCTGTAGTGAGTGTGAAAAATGAGGGAGGGAATGAGTGCAAGTTGCTTCCATTTTTCATGTCACTTATAGGCATACGTGAGTGTGCATTGCACCCCTACCACTCCACACACACTTTACCATTCATGAACACACACACACACACACACACACACACACACACACACAATGCTCTTACTTGTTTACACTTGATCTCCCATAATGTTCTCAATTATTAAATGTTGCTTTTGGTCCAGATATATCATTGAGTGGCTATGAATAGTAGTGCACATTATTGCATTGCGATGTATGAAATATGTAACACTGGACTGGATTATTAGTAACATCACAAGTAAAGTTACAGGCATGGCATAAATAGAATTTTAATAAATAACAACTAATTTGTCTTATTTTATACAGCCAACTGGATTTCATAAATGCACCAACAGATGCCAAGAAGACATTATTCCGGGATGCCAATGAACATAAAGTGGCTGTGCTAAAATTTCTAACTTGCTGTCTCATACAATATAATACATGCCAATACACCCACCACAGGCATCCTGGTAAAAGGCTGATCAAATTAGCTCACAGACCCGCTCTTAAACTCACTGCGCAATCACTATTTGTCCTTGCCGTTGCTCTCCATATTTGTAAATACTATGAAAAAATGACCTTGATCAATCCCATGAATGTATTATGAATTAAGAATTAAGGATTTAAAAATTTTTTGTCTCTCTTAATGTCTCGATCCCATTTGCTTCAGCTTTCATACGTACAGTAGACACCAGGGGCATTAAAATTAAATGAGCACCACAATGGACTTCAAAGGGAAGCTGTGGCACAATCAGCGATGAATCTAAATCCACAGCATTTCAGCGCTCTGAGGAGTGAAACTTCGCTATGCCCTGGTATGGTTGGTTGGTTGGTTGGTGGATCAGATGACAGTATAGCCAGCTAATTATAACCCCTCTGTAGCTGTGTAGCTTGGCAGCTGAAAGACCAACGCTGAGAGAGCGAGATCATAGTGTGTTTGAAGATGATGGTTAAGACGGTGGCAGTCAGCCGCCCAGATACGCAGCGGCTCTCTGGGCTGAAGCTGCACCTCAAAGCAGATCTGAGCTGCTCTTCAATTTACTGCACAGGCCCACTTCTAAAGTCTTAAGAATAATGATGATGCCCTTCATGAAATGTGCCGCATTATATGCAACATTGTTCAGCATATGGAGAAACCACAAATGTAGCTGAGTGTAATGGATTTACAATATACTGTATATCATGTTACTCAGCTGCTTTCATCTTGTGGCATAACTTTTGTCAGTCCATTAGTAAGGCTTTAAAGCTGTCAGTTGCCAGCAGTGGTACCGCCATCTTGATCATTTATTGTCACCTCAAACAAATGGCCTACTCTACTACAATTGTTAAGTGAAGAGTGGAGTGAGCAGTGGCCAAAACTGCAGCGCATTCCAATTCGGACAAAAACACACACTAAAAAAACAACAACCCAAAAATGGATGATTTAAACAACTTTAAATGTTGGTGGCTTTGAATGCATGAACACCTAATTGAAAACTTGTAATTTATCCCCAGAAATCATGCAATACTGCAAACGTTAACTGGTTAACTGCACAAGATATGATCAATTAAAGCTGTCTCATCAGTTGGTGATCACTTGTTTAGGCAGAGATAAAAAAAAAGCGTTCAATATTTTCTTCTTTGGAAGGAGCACCTTGTTGCTGCTGTTTAGGGTGCAGGATGCAGTTTTGCTTCTTTCTGTGGGTCTACCCTACTACAAGACACAAAACCTAATTTAGGCAAACAAGCCAAATACAAAGTGTCTCAACTCTAACTTTGTAACATAGACTGATTAGACTGGGGATTTCTTTCAAACTATTCTTGTCGTTTGCAGCTTTAATACAACACTACCCAGTGTCCCTGGGAAGCAATTGACTGCTAGCATACAGCGAGAGTGGTAGATCTTTATTATTCGACAAGTGTAAGTGACACATAGTGACTTTAACCAGTTTTCCCTGCAATACTGACCTATGAATCAAGTATTCCAGGGCACTGAATATCTCCCTATTCTGCTCTTGCAGATGGACGTGACAGACTTTAGGATGTATGTGCACTTGTGTAGACAATGGAGCCCTGCCCAGCTGTCAAAATGAAGGGATTAAGTTACTTATCTCCTTCTCAGATGGACAAGACAAGGCATACAGGACCATTATGGAGTGCCATCCCCGACCATGACACATGTATGTGTATAAACCCAGGTCCAGATACTTTATAGTAGGCTGGCTGCCTGTCAAATCACACTGCAAAACACACAGATAGTATGGGTACAGCCTGTTCATAGAATGTACGTGTATATAGCCTGGATGTAGGGGATATGCACAGGCCATCCAGCTGGCCTACCATTTTCATTTCATTCCCCTAAAAAGCTATTAGTTCTTATCATTTTACAATTTGCAGCAGATATATTGAACATATATCAAGTGGCATGACTAACATTATTACTAGCTGCAAGTCACAAGTAGCAAGTCTTAGCCATGAAGTCTCAAGTTGATATATATATTTCAAAACAGCCACGTTTTACTTTGGCCTTTTGACAAGTAACTAACACCATTATTGTTAACTAGCTGCGGGGAATGTGTCATTCAAACCAGCAAAAGTGATGCCTGGGGCCGGCTGAAAATGAGAAGCCTGCCAAACACACCTTTCCCTTGTGTTTGTGACTGGTTGCTGCTGGATTACTGCAAAATATATCTGTCTTCAGGAAGAAGGGTACTTTTTATAACATCGCTTTTAATCTTTACACTTTGGAAGGATATCAAGTGATTCCAAGGCATCAGGCTAGAGTCTAAATGAAGTCACGAGTCACTGGTGTTAATGTCAAATTGCAAGTCTTTTTTAAGTAAAGTCAATAGATTCATTACCCATATGCTGTTGTTGTGTGAGAAACAAATTATTCCAGTAATGATGATCTTCACTGAGGGAAATGTCTGACCTCTTGGGCATATAAAATCCTTTAAGAACCGCCCTAATAATGACGATGGAGCGTTGTCATCATTCTAAACAAGGCTGTTTTTGTAGCTCCTTGAAAACTTGATCTTAGTAGTACTAAGTGTCACTAGATGTGTTCTTTATAGTATGCAAGTATGCCCTTCAGTTTGCACCAGCAACTTAAGTTCCAATTCCTCTAATTTCAGCTTGACTCTGGCTCCAAAAAGGAGAAAAAAAGTCTTAGAGAGGGATTTTGAGAATGATTTTTAAAGATTAAATAGGGGTCTACTTTGGGGATAGTTGGTTCATTGATGAGCATTTCAGGCTTCTCGTACCGTTGCACAACCATGGATTATCTGTCTTTAAAAAGTGAGAAGATGGCAGGCCTCAGGCTTTAAAGAATAGACATGACATCACATCACAGACACTATGTCCCTATTTTTCTACAGTTAATGGGTAAAGTGTGTGGATTTCAGCATCTATATCAGTTAATGAGTGCACATATGTGTATGATTGCACAAAACTGGCCATAAACGTGGGTGTATTTCTTTGTGATTCTGTAACTAAATGGATCATCTGTGAAAAATCGGCACCCACCTCCAATATCAGGTCTGAGTTTGTTGTCATATCCATCTAGTAGGCTGTTTAGGATGTGTGTGACGTCACTCTCATACACTTTGGGAGTCAGCACCCACGTCTTGTTAGACACTTCATCATCGTCATCAGTCTGGAAGGAGCTGCAGGGAGGAGAGAGAGAGAAAAATACCATGCAATCAATAAGTTATTTTAAAAAGAGAGAAAGCAGTATCTTTCTTTGTGTGCTCTGCTTTCTTTATAGAGGAATATTAGGAGATGCGAGATACAGCGAGAGAAAGTGGTTCAAAGGTCTTAATCCACATTATGTACCAGTCTATAATATACGGTTTTCTTTCACAGTGAAATTCTGGCAGCAATGTCATCTTGTGCATATATTATAATTCAAATTTAAAAAAGTGTCTCCTCAAACATGCCTCTTTGATTTTTATTCACATTGATACTTCTGTCAATTATTTTAAACTTAATCCGCATCTGGGACCAATTAGGGTAGTGTTTTGGTGAAGAACCGACAAGTATTTCAAGACCAATCCCATCATATATTCAGATCACATAAAACTTTGTGCTATCTGATGGCTGATGTGAAAATGAGATTAAAGGGCTGAACTTATTTGCTTCAGATCTTGGCATTTCCTGCATGGAGATGGCATCTTGATTTCCCCCCCGCTTAATCCCGTGGTTCTCAGTCTTGTGCCATAGAGCACTTGCACGAGATTCAAAAATTACAAAAGCAAAAAACAATCATAGCCTGGAAATGACACACGGCTCATACATATATGCTAATTTAAGAGGATATAAAATAGATTTATAGAGAGATCTTGGCCGAGGCGAAATCTCTGAGGGGATATGCCATTAGATGATTTAAATGAGGCAATTCAAAATCTGAGTTTCACACTATTTTGTTTATTTTCATTGGAACCTAAATCAGTGCATATTAGTCTGCACCACCACCACCACTGTAATCTATGCAACACATCGCTTTCATCATTTATTTTGTCTTCCTGGCAGCCTTGTACACACTTTTCTCTCATCAAGAGGTGTTGCTAATGTTTAAAGGAATGTGGTAAGTTTAATCAGCAAGTAAAGTGGACGTTGAACATTAATTTCCTACCTGCACAGATTCATCATAAGGACTCATGAATTCCTTCTTGTCTTAAGAATCACTCCTTCAAAGTGAGATGTTTTGTCTTTAGATAGTTTTCACTCAATAGGAGTTGGAATTTGACAAAATGGACAGGTCAGCAAGTGAGTCAAAGTAACTTCTTTTAAACCTCTTATATTTGACAGTGTCTTTCATATCTTAAGAATATGCACAGCAATACAAGGCTATAGAAATTGAATGCCAAGATCAGACCTCACATTCCTTGTGGTGTTTCATCACAAAAGTGCAAAAGTGTCAAACCTCTTGAAGTAGGTTGCTGTGGTCTTAATCAAAATCCAGATTTCTGTTCATTTCATAGCTTCGTCCCAGTACCTACTACAGTTGCATGTGTTCTTAGTGACTAAGGGCCCGATTTACTAACATCCCGAGTACTACATTGCTGGTGCATTCTAAAATATTGCATGTGCAATTTTAGTACCTGTTATGGGTGATTTACTAAGAATTATTGCGTAGATGACAACAGGAGCAAACACAATGGAGATGGCTGTATTTAAAAGAGGGTTTGCGTGTTTTAACGGTTTCCGCCATGAAAAGTGGAAATGTGTGTGTGTGTGTGTGTGTGTGTGTGTGAGTGGGGGGAGGTGCAGCCACTGCGTAAAAACCTTTTGTTTGTTTCGTTCAGTGCTACCCGAGTATGTGTAAATCGTATGTATCATATGTGCTTCATCCAGCCAGAGGGAACAATCCCATCCGCAACGTGCCCGGTCGCGCCGCAATCTCCTGTCCCTGGCCCTGTACGCCCCAACGCCCCATTCCCTCTCTGATATCTACAATGGGTTGTGTCGCTATTACGACCGACACGCTGTGAACAGGCTGGATGAATTTTACACGTGATCCATACGCCACTCGCTCTCCGCAGCGCCACACCACTTTGTAAATTCTTCCATCTCCCAGAGAAAAGAAGTCAGGTCAAAACGAAATTTGCTTTATTGGCATGAATGTTGATTCAATTCAATTCACATAGTCCGTGACTAAATAAAATAAAATAATTGTATTTCTATATAGTGGACATGGAATAATATTATCTAATATTGTTAATTTCGCTACATCTTCCTTGATTACGGCTGTGTTTCCAACAATAACAGCAGCCATCTCTGCGCAGCACTCGGCGGTTTGCACCTTCCTTTTAAACGTATTAAATACAGATGCTGTTGCACTCACATAAAATTACGTTTAGGCTTGTTAGATCACATTGCGTGTAGTAAATAAAGGTATTTGCATGTTACCCTCCCACAATAAAACTGAAATGCCCCAAATTGTATATTCATTAAGGCAAAAGTACTAAATGAACAACAAGTGCTATTTTGCACTTTAGAAATGCGTCATTCTCTGTGCATACCGTTAGTAGATCAGCTTGCGGGTTAATTTGCTGGTAATAGCAAGTTTGCACACGTTTTTACTCATGCAAACCTTTGGTAAATCAGGCCCTAAGTGTTGATTGACCAATGAGACTGGAGACTGAGACATGGACTCAAGGAAATGGGTTTTATTGTAGCAAAAAGTTACATTTAGGTGATCTACTTTACTTTGCCTTATTTTCTGTTATATACAGTATATCAATTTTACAGTGTGGGATGTTCATATTAAACTTTGCCAAATTTGTAAATAATGAAGTAAACGTATGTAAAAGTAATACTTAAACCCTCAGGCTTTAGACTACTAATACTAGGTTTCCAATGTTTTTGTTTACTTTCGTCCCAAGCTACTCGGCTAGTTAGTTTCTTGATGGCCAGATGGCTTTACTTGTTGTTAAAGTAACTGCTAACAACTGCAAACTATAGCTGCTGTTGGCTGGTTAAGAGTCAGAGCCTGAAAACCTCCTTGCTAGTGGTGTAAACACGAACACTCTCCTGGTGCTTAGAGCTCCCAGTGCAGGCCTTGTCACCTAAGCTAATAGGACCACTAGCTGCACAGCTAACTGCCAAACTAAATAATAGCAGCTATAGTTTGCAGCAGTTAGTGTTTATTGTCCATCAGGAAATTTAGAAATCAGAAAATGCAAAACCTCCACTGCTATGCCATTGAGCACGTCTGCAGGCCACAAGTACTAGGTGCAGCCCCTCGGCAGGCTTTCAGAAGTTAGCCAATCAGAAGAAAGTGGGCTTTTTGGGATGTGGGCCTCAAAGAGACAGGAGCTAAAACAGTTTGTTTCAGACAGGGACACTATAAGATATACAAGGATGTTTTGGAACTGTGACAAACAAACCAAATTGAGTTTCAAAGTCTTCCCACTGCTTCCAACAGTATGGGGTACAGTATGGGGATAACAACATCCAACCATCGTCAACTGCTTATCCCGTGTACAGGGTCGTTTGGGGGCTGGAGCCAATCCCAGCTGGCATCAGACAAGAGGTGGGGTACACCCTGGACAGGTCGCCAGTCCATCGCAGGGCAGGAACAGCCACTTACACTCACATTTACACCCATAGACTGTGTATAAGAAGTGGATGTAGTCATCGTGACGTCACCTGTTGGTTTATGGACTGCCATTTGAAGCCTTGAGTTTGGCCGATAGGGAGCCGCCATGTTTTTGCAACCAACAGCACTGGACATGATCATATTTGGAAGAGACTGTAGAGCTAAGAGCCGTGTGTGGAGCTAGCTGGCAGTTCGATAGAATTCAGGTTTAAGGGACTTCTGTGTTCACATCAGTTCGCTGACCGGAAGCTTCCCACTTGTTTACAACTAAGGGCAATTTAGAGTCGCCCAATTGACCTAGCCTGCATGTGTTTGGACGGAGAAAGGAAGCAGGATCATCTGGAGAGAACCCACACAGACACGGCAAGAACATGCAAACTCCACACAGAAAGGCCTGGGATGACCAAAGTTCGAACCCCAGATCTTTTTGCTGTGAGGCGACAGTGCTAACCACAGGACCACCGTATAAACGTGACAAAAGAAAAAAATCTCATGTACTGTTAATGTCAAGCCCAGAGTTTGAATAAATCATTTCCACAATGACTTTAAATAAAAGCTAAGTTAAAATTGTTTGTCAAATGGTAAAGTGGGTTTTTAGGACCCCCAAGCTTCTGACAGAGCTGGAGAAGACCAGCCAATTTTCCCGAGTTTACTTCTTCACCTTAGATGTCTCAAACTGAAAGGATAATGATGTCTGAAGCGCCCCTGACCACAAAGACAAACACAGTATAGCTGTAAATGTTTTTCCTACTCTACCACAGACAAGTATGATCTTAGTAAATTATAGGTCTGGAATGAAGGTTTATTCTTTGTTGCAACAGATCTTGACAGAAGATGGAGGTACGTGATCTTCACGTAATTTTCACACATTTTGGGGTCGAAATGACTAGTAAGTACAAAAATTTTGGAATCCGTGCAGTAAATAGCTTCAGCTGGCAGCCATGAACTGGTCGAGTGGCTGCTGCATATTCCTTTGGGGCAATTGCGCCCATCCAAATTATGTCCACAAAAAGACTTTCTTTTTGCTACAGACAGGCTCAGACTGGTGTAACACCCGGTAACACCCCTTATTTTTAACCAGAAAGAAAAGTCTTCCTTAAGGACAATTCTCCCTCTGAAATGAGAGGAAAGTTCTTCTTGACTCTCAAAAGATTTCAGGGTAAGAATTGTCCTTGAACTAGACTTCTCTTTCTGGTTAAAAACAAGGGGTGTTATTTGTATTGATCCTTTCCATGCTGTTGTCAGACACCTGGTATGACACTCTCGGTAGCAAAACGGTCAAAAAACGTCATTTTGATGGATGCAATTTCCCCAAAGGAATACGTTGCAGCCACTGCAGCCAGTTCACAGCTGCCAGTTGAAGCCATCTACTGCATGAATTCCAAATTTTTTTGTACCTTCTAGTCAAAGCACTTTCTTTTTTTATTTCTTGTCTTAATACTGTTTTATATCTTCTGTAACTTAACTTTGATGTATAGAGCACTATTCAACAAGGCAATTCAATTTGCTGGTATCTGTATGGTATGGTATCTTAGTACTGCAGCAGCTCAGTAAATGTCAAGC